CTCCTGGTACTGAGGCTCCACCATTTTATCTGCACGTTTCAGGTTCACCCACAGCTGAAGGCCATGAATGCGTCCATCTGACACAGGCATCTCAGCATGAATTACCCCATGACCTGCCGTCATCCACTAACATGACAGAAAACAAAAACCAATGTTTTATTCTATATTATTCCTAATGGTAGACCTATCTGGTAGTAATTGCCAATAAACAGACTAACTTCTTGTTTCAGGAGCTTTGTGTACTGGTTAATGTCATCTTCATGCTAAGCATGAGAGATCTTTATGAGCTTTTATTTCAGCGTAAAAATGAAACACTATACTATAATTAAAACACTGGAACTGTAATTACAAAATGATAAAATATCGTAGGGTTAATACAGCTAAATTGGGCAACTTTTAGACATTGGGACAACTGTCAAAAAGTGACTCATTTTACATGAATCAACCCTATATGTTAACATACGATGGAACCAACAATGAAAACATGAGATTGCCACAGTACTGTCTTTTCCCGTGTTGTGCGTAAGGTATGATGTTTCATAGTCACACATTTTAGGAGGAAAATAAAGACTCAAAATTTGTTTGCCTTAACAAGGGAAAATGCCATTTAAACCATGTCTATAATGTCTGTAAGTAAATGTGTATTTAATGGAAAACTTTACCTAACATGGGGGAAAACTCAAAGTACATCTGATAATCATTGTTTACCTTTAGGAACAGGCTGCACATGCTTCCTTCGAGGTACATGGTTGTTCTTTTCTTAGTCCTTCCAACTGATATTTTTTTGTGTGTTTCATAATAAAAACCATTATTCAACATCAAAAAATAGAGTTTATGCTTATGTTGGGCACTGTTCTGGATGTACATCAGTAGATAAGATATAAATGTCTACTAGAGGGAGGCATGGACATGTCCAACTTATTTGTCACTGTGTTTTGGGGGTTGAAAGGTCAGCCTATTGTCATTTTCTTTCTATTTCTCCATTCTCGTTAAATCTTTCTAACTGCTTCTTCCTAGCTCTTTCTGTTTTAGTTCAAATTTTTAAACCTCTTCCTTCTTTCCACCATCCATTAATTTCCAGTCAAAGAGGACTTGCTAAATTTGGATTTTTTTACTTTTTAGTCTGAGGCTGAGCTCCATGTTACAGAAATCTTACATAGCCAGACCATAAGACTGATGGCATAAGGTCTGGAATCCATAGCTGCTTTCACTGGCCCAGGACCACCCACAGGCCACCTGACTGACTTCTGCAATCAATTACAGTTTGTTTCGTTCTGCATCATTTTTAGGGACGTGAAGATGTAAAGTTGGTGTCCTTGTTTTTGCATTTAAATGATGATTGATTTGTGCATATTTCTCTCATGATTCAGACGAGATGACTTATTCGTTTACATTACGTTTACATTTAGTCATTTAGCAGATGCTTTTATCCAAAGCGACTTACAAATGAGGACAATAAAAGCAGTCAAAACTAACAAAAGAGCAACAATATATAAGTGCAAATGTCAAGTCTCGGTTAGTCTAACGCAGTACACGTAGCAAGGTGTATATATATATATATTATACACACACACATATACACACGCACACACACACACACACACACACACACACA